TTCCGTTGTGTTTTGCACTTCAGGGCCACCGTACTTTGTTGATTAGAACTAACGTACCTGAAGAATGTGTTACATCAACATCACAGAGATCAGGAGGATTGAAATACTTAATAAATGCTTATTGTAGTAATTGACATATTGGTCTTACATTAGAGTCTTACCAAGGTGGATATTTCTTTGCTACCCAGTTGAATTACAGTCTCCTAATTACTCGGGCAGAAATGTAAATATGGAGGTGTGAAGCAATTAACAGGTGACCTGTTCAGTTCGTTGGCTGCATCATAATAATTCAGGATCAGATTAGGCCAATCTCTCTCTACCTTGTTTTTGTTATCTGTGACAGCCGAGCTGAATATTCATGAGATAATTAACATAAAGAGCAAGGTGTGCACAACGATTTCAACCTCCATTTTCCCAGCTAAATGCTAACCCACTATTAAGATCTCTCGTGTATTGTTGTGTAGTTCGACGGTTTCCAGTTAAGACAGCGGGGCAGAAGTGTCCGACAGCCATCGGACCACGTCTGCTGGATGGGGTGGAGACGTGTCACTGGGGAGAGAAGTTACAGGCCCAAAGGCAGATGAGGGTAGGGTTGGGGGGGTGGAGTTGATGTGTGTGTGTGTGTGTGTGTGTGTGTGTGTGTGTGTGTGTGTGTGTGTGTGTGTGTGTGTGTGTGTGTGACAATGGGAAGGAATATGTATCAGAAATGTTAAAGAAGAGCATTTTTTAAACTTGTAGAGTAAGAATGAATGAAGGAAACAGAGAAAGATGGAGATCAGGAGAAAGGTATGAGATGGAGGCCACACACACACACACACAGAGTGAGAGGAGGGGAGGCGGTTCATGGACACACAGCTGCAGGCCACTGACCCATCAGTATGGTTGACACACATTACCCTTCTTCTCCACCACCTCCGTAACAAGGCGACTCCTTTCACTCTCTCGCTTCTCTATCTTCACTCTTCTGTATCCATATTTATCACGTCTCATTAGATGTCCTTCTTTCTCTCCCTACAAGTCAACACAGACTTACTGATTTGAAGCTATGGAATCCATTGCTGGTTTATTGGGTACCCACACACAAACCCAAAGCAATCCAATCCAATATCTCTGCAGTAAATCCTAAATTTAGAAAGCTCATAACTTTACTTTTTGTTTACAATGTGGCAGAGATGTGTTGATTCAACAAAATTGAAAAAGCTTTGGAAGGAGCATCTAATATTTAGTCAGCTGTCTCAACAAAAACTGGACACGATAAGCTTAATAAAGTTAGCTTTTTATTGCAGGGCTGGTGTATTGGATTGCAGCAGATTTAGCAAGGTGTATGTGACTTATAAACTTGCCCCCTGGGTGTATTGTTAAAATATCCATCAGCACTGCGGAGAGCAGCAGATTTACTGTGGCTTGAGATGCTGTGAGCAACTGCGAAGAAAATGTTTACTTGCTTGTCAGGTCGCAACATGGTTGACAACGCCAATAAAGTCTATTTATCGGCCCACAATACACTTTGCAACAACTCGTCAAAACATCTGTGCTGCAGTGTGAGCACTGCTGGAGAGGACTGCTGCTGCTTGACGTACAATGTCGACGTCAAGTTCCGGTTTTGATCATTGACCAATAAAGTCAAAATCAACTTTAAAACGCTAAACTCCATCTGGATCATTAAAAAGAAGCTCTAGTCTCCTACCACCGCCGAATGGTACCAGGCCGCCGGAATATTTTATTTTGAAAAACGGCTTGATTTTCCACCAATTACATGCGCTTCTCCCTCTATACCAGCGGTGCCCACACTTCTTCGGCTCGCATGCTACTTTTCAATCGACCAAGTCACAATCTACCAAGGACTGTCCGATGGAGGCGGGTAGGGGTAGTCGGGCCAACAAGTAGTAGCGGTAACAACGCTGCTAACGGTGCATTCTGTGGGCGCAGTATGAATACTATTTTGCTGTGTTTATCCGCCAAACCTCCAGCAAGAAACCGGTCTGTGAGATAAAAAATGGTTGGGGGACGGCTGGCTTGAAGGACAAGTTATTACCATGAACGGCTTTTAACGAAGCAGAAGCTGTAATGCATTAGTTGGAAACAAACATTACATAAACTGAAATTGTTGCAAATAATGATCTCACTCCACTGTTCTCTTCTCCACACACTCCTTCTGTACTCGTGTTGAGACATCTGTGTCTTAGACAGCGTACAGCTCCCCCAGCTGAATACAGAAACCACGAACAAAACCTGCTGCGTTTCATGTCAGGCTGGATCCCAGGGGATCCCAAACCTTCCCTGCACATTACGCTTCTAACCAAATGTGAAGGATAATATTACAAAAGGCTCCGACTCAACAAATGCATCTTCACTTCCCAGCATGTATGTGAATCTGCGTGTGGTAAAAAATGTTTGTTTGCATGTTTATGTGTGTAAACGAACGTGCATTTTAGATCCAAGATCCAAGATCTGACAGCAGGTCAGTTCCAGGCTTCCACGTGAAGGAGAAGAGAGAAGCACCCAGACAGGGATTAGATGAGGGAGAGAGAAAAGGACCAGGACAGGAATCCAGCTCCAATCCATTGGGACCCGAGTGTAAAAAATAGACCAGCGTCACGCATCTATCGAGGGAAGAGAGAACGAACGAGGTCAGAGAAAGAGAGCTCAGGTGATCATTTTAAGCTGCTGGAGTCACGGCGGCACATATAGGCTCCGCTGCCATCTACCTGTCACCTACATCGCACACAATGTCCCCTTTGTTCACAATATCACCTCCCTATTTTGCTACATCTACCTCCCCGGTGTAGCAACTCTGAGTGTGATGCACTGTTTCCCTCCCCATCACACAGCTGCCAGCGATACTGTATATATCATTCCCTCTCATTCTCACTCTCAACTCGCCTGCAACCCCCCCCCACCACCTCTCACTCACGCATGCAATCTCTTTTCGCTCTCACCCTTATATACTACTATATTACCTTACCGACTCCAGCTGTTTTTCACACTTTGTCTCACTGTTACCTTGTATACTTTACTCGTGCCTTTTACCCCAGGATGTGTGAATATAACAATACTGTTAGCAGTATTTTTGTAAGCCTATACATGTTACTTTCAGTTCCGTTGGCTTTCTGTAATCTTTTGAGTGCAATACATCATCCTGATTTTATGCTTAAAGCTTTTTTCCTTACACAAACACATGTACGGTTTCATTATGTCCCCACGACAGTGAGCATATGCTGACTGATTTTTTTCTGAACCGACTTATTTTATTGTCATAATGTCCTATTTCACATAATCTCGCCATTACATTTTTTTTACACTTGAAACTAACCTTAATGTTCTTGAACTCTAATCCTACGACTAACTCTTCAAAGCGAGTACTCCCAAAATGTCTGTTATTTGTAAGATAATTCACTCATTTTTAATCCTTGAATATAAAGGATATAGCAGTAAAAACACAGCTACAGATTCATGCTCACTTTCACTCTCTTCTTTATGTCTCTCGCAAAGCTCCACACACACACATGCACACACACACACACACACACACATGCGCACATAGACACTTTAGTCACTAAACCATGGAGAGGCAGGGTTCGGTTCACTGCTCACCTTGGCTGGTTTGATCAATGGCAGTCTGCCTCCACCAAATCCTTCCCACAAACAAGGCTGAATAAACAGGCATGGAGTGGTGTTTACACAGGCCCTGATAATCTGCTAATCCATATAACCTGCTTTCAAACCAACGCGCTGAGGCACTCTTGCATGCACTCACCCGCAAGCACGCGGGATTGGATATGTACACCGCCGCAGAGTACATATCCGGAGACGCAAGCAGACTGTGCATGAAAGCAGGATACACACACACACTACGTACAATAATTTGCATGCACTCATACACATGCTCTCAGTGCTATCACTGACTTTTGCCCATTATCCTCTGTGACCTCTTCGACGGGACATGGTTGATTGTCTCGCTGAGGTTGATAGCAGACAGAAGGGTTAATAAGGATTAATGGATTGTACACACACAGTTGCATGCACACACAACAGTGAGAATAACATTTCAGAGTTGATGACTTTTCATAATTCCATGTATCTGAAGCGTGTGTGTGTGTGTGTGTGAGTGTGTTTTTGGACTTGATTAATCGAGTCATGTTGCTGTCGGCCATGGAGCATTCCCACGGCTTGATGGGATAATTGAGGCGTGACAAAGCCATATAGAGTTTGTCAAAAGTCTTAATGGTCTTAGTTTAGCATCATGGACACCGTGAGTACGGGGCTTTTTCGTTATTAACATCCACTCAATACAGCGGACAGAGGTTTTATCGCTAAGAAAGAAAATCCAATGCATTTATAATGTTCATCAATTATTCAGAACGAGTTCTAGGTCACTGAATTTGTTTTTTGTAGACATACCTTTCAACCACATTTCAGGTGACACAATGAGCACAAGAATGATGTTAATTGTTTGCCACAACAGCAAAACATAACGTCTTTATGATGTGAAAAGGTTAGGGTTTGGTTTAAATCATAACAGCCACCAGCTGACCGTGAAAATAAGATGAAAATGACTGAAGCTGTTGTCTTTCTAGGAATAACATTCGGCTTTTCAACGTGCTGCTGTTACGTTACGGTTCTACTGCTTTCACTAATCAGCAAAAGTTATAAATTGTCTATTAAAGAATTATGGGTCAATTGTTTTCTCTGTGGAAACAAGCGTAGAAGGTGACTATTAAGTTCTACTTTTATTGTTTTGTGCCTGAACACTAAATATTTCTCTGCGTCAGTAGACGTTTGAATGCATCTCGTCTGGCATCTTGTTTATACTTTATCTTAAAAGTTTTGGGGAAATCAAATGTCAAAGCCTTTCTGACTAGTCTTCCTCTCTTTCCCCATTTTCACTTTCTTACATTAAACTTTGAGTGATTCTGTCCTTGTAACACTTCGCTTTCAGCGACAGCGTCTTCGTCAATTTAACCTTTACCCCCCCCCCCCTCCTCTCCCTCTATCTTAAGGTACGGTGGACGAAGACGGCTGGCAGTGCATCAGACAAGTTCCAGGAAAAACCCATCTTCAACGAAACGCTGCGCATCGAGTCCATCAAGAGGATTAAGGGGGGTCGCTACTACTGCAAGGCCGACAACGGGGTGGGGGTGGCTGCCATCAAGTCCATCCGCGTAGATGTGCAGTGTAAGTGGCCAGGGAGAAAGACAAATAAATAAATAAGAAAAACTCCTTCCACTTCTGGACCACAGCAAACTATCACAACAGCTATTCCCACTGTTAGAGAAGACCACGATGGGGAGAGATGGAAAGATTGCAGGAGGAAAGATTAAAGACAGTTTGGAAGATGATATTTCAAGTGGGAATGGCTTCCAGGAGTATCTGATGAATTGTGGGGGAAGCGATAAAACATTACTGGAGGAGTATTGGAGGGTATGGATGATGCCCACTTTCAAATTGAGCTATTTTTCTATTTTTTGCCCTTAGTCGCCTTATGTTGTGGGTAATGCAGCCATGTGTTCTCCAACAATGAGAGTAATAACAAACATTATCTCAGATACTCCTGGAAAAAAGTGAAGTCTGTGGGACATATCAAGAGTTTTACAACAGTTGGTCCAGGTGGTACGGGCTCCCTAACCCACTACTTCTCAACTTAACCTACGGCCCAAAGTGAAAAAGAGGTCATGATCTGTTCAGACTGGTTCAGACAAATTCCCATCTGGTTTGTGCTTTCACATTCTCAGATTTGAACCTGCCACAATTAGCAAGTGAATTACTGATCTACTAACGACTAGTAGATGGCTGTATGTTTTCACACTTTGAACGGTCCGTGCAGTCCGGGCCTTTAGAAACGGTGAAATGCTAATGTTTCCCACACAGACAGTTGAGAAGCCGTGTGGTGCTGTAGGGGCCCCGTGCTGCTGCTTGTTTCACTGCCCCACTGTCCTTGTGAGTCAGAGGCCAGGTCATGACGACGGGTTGACGCACATGCAACTATATACCCAACACGTCAATGCTTTTATACAGTTTGATTTAATTCCCAGCACCCTAAAACCTTATATAGCCGTTACGCCGGTTTATTGCATAGATATTTCCTTCCTTCATTGATTTAATCATTTTAATGGTGGGTTTATAGACTAATAGAAAAAGGTTGATTTTCCAAGGGCCCTGTAGCACTAAACATCCATTACCTACCTTTCTGTTGCTAAATTAATGTATTATTCTACTCTGCTTTGGTCTGCCACCCTTTCATTAGCATATTTAGCACACACACACACACTCTCTCCACGCTTGTCCCACTAGGATTTGTAACTCACACCAGCAGCCTGCCTCAGCCTCTTAATGCCCTCCCTCATTCCGTCTTCCCTACTCCCTTTCTGCTGATAGAGTTAGTTTTCCCCAAGCGCCAGCTCGGCCTCCACTGGGGAGCTGGTAATTGCAGGGGGGCCTGGGTAGTAAACAGGTCGTACTGTGAGTGTAGTTGTGACAAGAGCTCTGTGAAGCTAACCAGCTCTGACGGCCAATGCTTGTTCAATCCCCCCTCCCCGAGCCACGTTAGACCGAGCGGCGTCCAGCCACACTTCTCCCACAGGGGTGGGGTGGGTGGGTGGGGCTTCAGTTCCAGGGCTGTGTAACCATTATCTCAAGCTATATATATATATATATATATATATATATATATATATATATATATATATATATATATAGAGGGGGAGAGAGGGAGAGAGAGAGAGAGAGAGAGAAGGAAGGGAAAAGTGGAGGAAAAGATGGATCGTAGAGTAAGAAAAGAGGGGTTGTAAAGCAGCGAGGGAACAAGTATCACCACCTCAGTGTCCCTTCAGATGCAGCTTGAACAGGAGGACAGCCGTAAAGATCACCTTTGACCACCATACCATTTCTCTTGAGAAGTACAGGTCAGACTGAATATACACAAATGTTGTACGAACATGTCAGCTTTCAATTACCTAAAGAGCACTCGATCCTACCAAGAAAATCTAAACAGTGAAAAGAGGGCAAAATTGATTGTGGCCAAGTAAACTTCAATTAACAGTGAGAATAAGAAGACTTCATGAGAATCAAAATGAGAAGAAGAAGAAGAAGAATTAGACAGATGTGGGGGGGGGAAGAAAAAGAAAACTAAAGACAGCAAGGACAAGAAATGGAATTTAGGGAGAAGAGAGCGAGAGATCCACCTAATGAGGTAGATTTACTCATATGCTTCTCATTTTGGATGCATCCAACAGAACAGTTATTGGACTAGAGGGCAGAACAGGTTGGTACCTTCACAGGGTGATTACAAGAGCTTCAGTTATTTTCCTCAGGGCCCTGCAATTTGTCTTTAAAAAAAAAAGTGAAATGGCCACCCTGCACTTTCTATTCTCTCTTTACTCTTTATTTTACCCTTCTTATTCCCTACATTTATCTTGTTGTCCTTCATTTTTTCCTTCCTTCCTGCCGTCCTGTCTGCACCACACACACCAGCGTGTGATGAAGCAGTGAGCTATTTTGTGTTTGTGCGCACACACATTCTGCTTGGTCTTTACTTACAGGTACTGTAGCATGCACACATACATTCTCATAGATGCAGGTGCACACCCGATGCATGGGTTAGTAGAGACGCACTATTGAGTATGCACACATGCTCCAATACAGTATATCGCAGAGCAAACACTCACATTTCAAAGAGCAGTGTGTGAAAAACTGAAAAGACGGAGCGGAAGCAGAGCAGCGAAAATGAATTAAAATAAAGGCGCATTATCAATATTCTGCTTTGTATATCAAGCAAATAAAGCAAAAGTCACAGTTTTATAGCAGTTTATAGTAGACATCCCAATATCTCATTCCTTACCTTCCTTTTCTCATTTCGTCTCCCAGGACAACATCCCTTTGTTTTGTTTTCCACAACTAGAACGCCGAGATGTTTTCTCCCTCTTTTTGTTTTCTTTAGACTTTATTTTACTTTAAATCCAGCCTGTGAACCTGTAATTCACTTAGCATGTATTTACTAATTAACCTTTTGGATATTTGAATAAATCAGCCCAAAGTAGTTAATGCCGGCAAACTTGTTTTCCATTTAATGGAATTGCAAGACCTTCAGCCAACAAATTAGAAAGTCTGCAGCACCTAATGAGCAAATACAGGTGACGCTCCCTTTGTCTATCTATCCCTTTCCAATCCCACAAAGAGCACATAGGGCAACCTTTCCATTTATCCATCGCTACTTAGACTCGCCTCAACGATGCGCTTTACTCAACAACACTTTTTCAACCTGTCACCCATTTCTATAAACAACATTTCTCCCCTGTTAGACCTCCATTACATGGGGGTCACCTGTATCAATCAGCTGTACAATGACCTGGCACACTAACCACTGAGGCAGTAGTGCAGTGAGCTGGCGGGGTTTAACTTTGAGTAGCCTCTACTGATGGGATGGACTTGGTTCAGAAACCCAACCAATGATATTTTAATATATTAGATGACTCAGATTAGTTCAAATCCTCTGTGGACAATTTACTCCATGGACGCACACAGGTAAGTGGCATATTTTTATTTGGGGATATGATGACGAAGATATTACTTATACTGATTATGTGAATGTTGATGGGGCTATTGTGACATCAGTGATGAAAAACAATGATCCACTTGAAGGATTATTTCTTTGTTTTATTCATTTTTTTGAGGGGGGGGGGGGCTTTTGACTAAAGAGCATTGCAAAAGATTCTCTGTTAGCACATTTTCCAGCTTCTAACTGCTTCAAAGTAACTGGCAATAATCTCACAGATTAATTAACGCATTAACTTTGACAGCGATGGTCTTTACGTTTTTTAAGTCTTCTGTCACAACACAACGCTCTGTGATGGTTGTAGCAGGAGGAATGGACAGTGCTGCTGCTAGCGCACACACCTAAAACACACACACACACACACACACATACATGCATTCAGTAGTTGCTTAAACACACAAAGAAACACACAAGCCAAGTAAACCCACGCAATGGACAGGTACAGAAAGTGAGTACCGTTATCGGGCAACTTACAAGAAGCTTTGACCTTTTAAAAGGACCGAGGCTGAAGCCACATGGAGAATCACACAGCCACTATATTACTGTCAGAGTTGCAAAAACTCACAAACCTTTTTTCTTCTGCTCATTATGTCATGCACGCGTTTGTCCTTTCCTCACAGTCTGTGTTGACGCTTCTCTGTGAAGCAGCCGAGGCGTCTCTTTCTCTGCGTTATTTGTTTTAACTCTCTATTGCTCTTCAGCACATGTTCCTGCTCGTCCGGGCTTCTTTGTGATGTCTTTGGTCTGGTTGTGTTTTCTCCCTTGTTCAGCCTCGTCGCTGCAGGACGTCTTCTCTATTTTCTTTTGTTAGTTTCAACCCCGGTCCACTTTTCTTATTCCGTCTAGGAAGGAGTGGTAGATTGGTTCTTAGTAATCTGAAAACTCTCCTTGGCCTTCAGCAAAAGCTCCACGTGCTGTTGATTTTCAGACACATTCAAAAGCATTCTTTATTTGACTGCGGCCCTTGTTTATAAACTCACTATTTAATAAATCAATGCTTCTTTCATTTTGAAAGGGCCCTCAGTGCTCTTGACTAAATTTCAGACAACCTTCGCTGTTAATGACCATGAACTCTTGAAAGAGATCACTGATACCTTTTCTACTTCAAACTCCCAAACACAACTTTGTGTTTTTGGAACCTTGGAAAGACGAACAAGATGAGATCTTTAAGATTAATTTGGTCTTCGGCAAATTTGTTGAAGTGACTTTTACAAAGATCAAGCAGTTAAAGTCAAATGTTATCTGACATCAATTAATTATAATAATTGTACCAATGCACGGTAAAGACATCTTGTGCAGATGATGATCAGTGACATCCCAAAGAGAAAGCCATGAAATAATTGCATCCCTTCAATGTCTAAACTGGTATAATGCCGCTAGCTTGCTTGGAAGCATTCAGATATTTAATCTTGTGTGGATTTTACCGTCTATGTTTCTGTGAGAAACAGCATTTGGTCTGTTTGATCGGACTGGTTGTTGTTATTATTGTATTAATATAAAAACAGCAGTCTGTTCAACACAATGTTGGATTTTCAGGGACTGTTGTCCCGAGCAGATGGGTGTTTAAAAAAAGAATAGAAAACCTTTCGTGAGAAGGGTATTATTGGAATCACTATTATATGAT